AAGGAGAAACTTCCTGACAGTTAGAACAATTAACCAGTGGAACAACCTGCCTCCAGAAGCGGTGAATGCTCCAACACTGGAAGTTTTTAAGAAGAGACTGGACAGCCATTTGTCCGAAATGGTGTAGGGTTTCCTGCCTGAGCAGGGGGTTGGACTAGATGACCTCCAAGGTCCCTTCCAACTTTATTATTATTATTAAGTCATCCAGCCAGTTTTCATGCCTCAGGTGGAACTAGAACTCACAGTCTCCTGGTGATTGGCCCAAAGTCATCCAGGCGGGACTAGAACTCATGCTCTCCCACTTTCTAGCCTAGAGTAGACCAAACCAGGCATAAAAAAAGAAAATTACGCATTCCTCATAAGTGCAGGGTGGGAAATGCACAGCCCTACTCATTCCTTGGCCTTTTCAAAAAGGAAGCATCAAAACTCTGACTGGAGTGTCCCCTCTCTCTGGGTTCTTTTGCTGCCCAGCAAGAAGAGGAAGGGAGAGTGGGAGAAAAAGGCCTTAGACAAAAGGAAGGGTTACTGTAGTCTTTTTTGGCTCCAGTGGCTGAGACACGATTTCTAAAGCGGATTTCTCTGCCCCTCCGGGATTCCATCAAGCAAAGGGCTTCTCTTACCTCTTTGGCACACTGGATATCCATCATGAAGTGATGGACATGTTTCTCTGCTCTGGTGAATTCCAGTTTATCTGCAGCCACGGCCACAAGGAGAGCTGTGCACCCCACTCCCTGGGAAGAAATACAAAAGTGGAGAATAAGAAAGGTTCTTTTAAATATTTTTTTTTTAAAAAAAATGCATGGCTTATTTACTGTTGTAAGTCGAAGAAGTACCTGTATCTACAAATATATATTGGTAAATATATTTTGCCACCTTGTACCATGTTTCTTGCTGTAAGATGTTGTCTGTGTTCCTTACCATGACACCAGTGAACAAACACACAACTTTCCCGCAGACTGTTTCGGGCACCACATCTCCGTAGCCGATGGTCAGAAAAGTGATGGGAATCAACCAGAATGTCCCACCCAGGTAGTTGTTCTCATCCATATACTGCCTGGCAGATCAAATAAGAGAGAATCAACATGTGGATAGATCCGTGCTCATATTTATCTAGGGAAGTACAGGTAGTCCTCCACATACGACCACAATCGGGGCCAGAATTACCGTTGTGAAGCAAGGCAGTCGTTAAATGAGGCAGTTCGTAATTTATCACCACGACGGGGACCAGACTTTTCATGGCTAAGCAAGACAGTTGTTATCTGAGTCACACCCCTTTTTTGCCATGATTGTTATGCAAATCACCGCAGTTGTTAAATGAATCGTGTTGTTCAGCAAATCCATCTCTCTCTCGCCCCGCCCCCAATTGACTTTACTTGTTGGAAGCTGGGTGAGAAAATTGCAAATAGCAGTCACATGACCTTGGGACACTGCCAATAAATACATGCGGGTTGCCAAGCGGCCAAATTTTGATCACGTGACCCCAGGGATGCTACAACGGTCACAAATTCAAGGAGCAATCATTAGTTCATTTTTTTCAGTCCTGAACAGGTGCTAAATTAATGAAGGTCAGCTGAGGACTACCTGTATTATATCCCAGTTAATGGTTTCACCTGAAGCAACTAAGGATGGTGTAAAAAAATAAAATAAAATAAATAATAAAACACAACAAAACAATAACATGATAAAATAAAATAATGAAGTGAAATAAAAATATAGTATAAAGTAATAAAATAAAGCATTCGAATGCACAAATCCAAATACATCGGTAAATGCAGGTTGGCTAAACCACAGCAGCTTGAGTTCGGTGGGGGGTTTTTTTGTTTTTTTTAATCAAATCAACATTTTTAAAGAAAATAAAACAGTCTTTGTCTGATGACCAAGCAGTTAATAATAACAATAACAAGCCTAACAGTGGATAATATTGGTGTTCCAACAGAATCCTCACCGTTCACAGACGGACAGTATCCAAAAAGCGATGATCCAGAGTCCCATTGTAAAGATCAGCAGCACACGCCCCGGCTGGCTGTTGACCATCACCCGTAACACAAAAGGGTACTGGAAGTGGATCTTGTTGAGGGACCCGATGCTACGGTAGGAGGCATCTCCCATCACACTACTCCGCATTAGCACAGCCCGAGGGACCAGATAGAGGCGGAGGAACATCACCAGTGAGAGCAACATGTCAACATCGGAGAGGAAGACGAGGGTCTGTTCCGACTTGGGATCCAGGCAAACGAAATCTCCCACCGGGAAGGGGTGAAGGAAGCAGACTAAAAGCTCCAGTGTGATGAGAGCCAATTTCGGGGTGCTGACTGCAATTCGCCAATCGGTGAGGGAATTGTCCAGCATGAAGAGCTAAAAGGCAAAAGGAACATGAGAGCATGAGTGAGCCGGAAGCAAAGCCAGGGGTTCTCTCTGCAAGGCATTGTCCCTCTGCTGGAATTCACTGATGGAATGTATTTCTATGCAACAACTACTGTACAGGTGAAACTCGAAAAATTAGAATATCGTGCAAAAGTTCATTTATTTCAGTAATGCAACTTAAAAGGTGAACCTAATATATGAGATAGACTCATTACATGCAAAGCAAGATAGTTCAAGCCGTGATGTGT